TGTAAATTTAATTGTGTTGTGTTTGTGCAGATGTGCATATTTGACAGTTTTTGGCTTGTTATTTGACTTAAGTAAATTTATTTAAGAAAAGAAAGACTCAAATTTTTCCGTGATCCACTTTGTTATTGTGCAAAGAAATTTTGTCTGGGTTTAAGAATATATATATATATATATATATAATAATATATATATATATATATAATATAAATATATATATATATCATACTACTATGAATAATATATATATATATAAATATATACAATTCTAGGGACCCGACAGACTTCGTCTGTCCTCCAAAAAGATATTGTAATGTGAACAGTCTTATTATGTTCCATACATATTTTTCTGGTTAAAATATCTCCTGAACAGAAACCGGTCACCTGCGTGATAGGCGCGCTTGAGTAGATAAGACAAATATAATTAAATAAAACATAATATAAGCTTTAAAAGTAAGTAATCGCTTAATTGTCTCACATCATGTATCATAATTATTAAAAAAAATCAGTTTTATTTGTTCACTTGTAGCTGCTTTGTGATAAAATTTTTTTGTTGATTACCTCGACGCATAGAGAAACAACAACAATCTGCATGTGTTTTCCAACACGGGAACTAGGCCAACATACAATTGACCATGTGAGAAACATGGGTTTCCAGATTAATACCACAAACAACTTAATGATTGCCCCTGGGACTTGTTTATGGGTCATAGCAAAAGCAAGCCGAACTGGAAACTGTACGGTCGTTTAAGTTAAACGCCACATCAGTCGGATCAATTGGGATGCCGTATGAAGAACGTCTTCTCCTTTATAATTTCCTTCGGTATAGTTGCTCTATCACGTTGGTTAGTTAATTTTTTTATCGCTAACCGTGTTCCGTTGCAAAGACGTGGTTGGTTGATATTTCGCAACATTATAACTACCGATCCAAACCTTTTATGAAGATGTGTGCAGGTGGCATCCTGGTAAAATCCAGCGAGTTATAAAAAATTCTGTGGAATAGTTCACTACATCATACCTTGGTTAGTAGCAAAATCAGCTGATTTATTATATTCCTCCGATTCGCCTGTAATTGTTTTTTTGAATTTTAAATTTAATTCATTTACAGTCAATGTTTTTTGCAGCAATGTAGCTCGTTCGCTCAACCAATCATGATTTTCATGTTAATTTGAGAACATCTTGGGAAACACCTTACTGAATAAGTTCGATCTTTTGATAGAGTTAACTACAAAAAACTTTGAGGAAAGTTAATGCAGCCGACAACATGTCTATAATGAGGAATTTGCCCATTACCAATGTCAAGAGTTGTATTAGGAGACTATGTTTTCAGATTGGTCATTTTGCCAAACTCGACACGCATATTCTTGCCTTAAATTAAAGACTTGGACATGCTTTCCACAAATTGGAGACTTTAGACATGCATTGAGTTCATCAGTGCGTGTTGATCGTGGAATCCACTGCAATGTTTGACGAAAATCTCCTGCTAATAAAATCATTGCCACCACAAATTGGTTATGATTGCCTCCGGTAGATCTTTTAAGGTTCGTGTCTAAAGCCTCCATAGATTTTTTATGTGCCATTGTGTCATTATTCCCAAACAAATTAGATTTACATTGCCCTTCAAGACCTTTGCCATTGCCAGAGTTCTTCGAAATGCTGCGGATCAGGAGTTTCATTTGCTTTGCATATTTATTGCAATTTTAATGCTGAATGCGCTGTTTGGACACCTCATAGCAAAGTTCGCCCGATCCTGACCCGAAAGGAGAGTGCCAAGTGCCAATTTTATTTGTGAGCGATCCGTTGCTAATATTAAATTGAAATCAAAATAGTTTTTCCTTGCTACCACCAGGTGGCATCTAAGAAGTAAATCCCTCCGGTTTCATCATTTGTTACTTTCATAAGAGTATCCAAATACATTACTTTTTGCTTGTTCATTCAACAGTGCAAGATTTGTTTGAATTTACTTCTTTCAAAGTGTTGAGATCATACTTTTTTCTCGATTCAACTCCTTGGTTGGAGCATGTGAAGTCCGCGGACTTTCTCACCAAACACTTGGATCGGACCACTTAGTGGAAGCACACCGGGTCCCTTAATTTAATGAAATGCTTTTTTTGTTACTTTCGAGCATTCTTGTCATTCTGTAAACAAAAAAGGGGTGATGATGAGATGAAGTTGGAGAATGAAAGAATCGTCGGCGGCATCAACCGATCTTCTTGCGCTCTCCCGGTGCACAGAAAAGACGGTTCAGGGTGGTAACCAGGTACTTGTTACATCATTTGTATGGAGTCAGATCGTTTGCGAAGTGTACATATATATTGGAAATAAACCGTTGTTCTTGTTGAATGATATCACAGCGTTCTTTAATACTGAATAACAAAAACCCAGCAAACCTACAAGTTGATCAGCACCTCGTCACGTCATCCAGAAGAGAAAGATCTCCGTTTGCTGCTGCGACAAAAAATACGCACTATAGCAGTTGACGATCCCCGGAACCCGAAACAATCAATTAACACAGTAAACTGCACATTTGCTTGTCCGTTTTCATTATCTGCCTGTATGCAGCGAATAAGAATATGTTGGCTACGAAAAGTATTTTCCTGGTTTAGCATTGAGTAAGTGGATAAATGAAAGCGCTTGGCCCAAGGCAGAGTGGCCTTCGCGGCCATTGTCTGCTCACGCGGCCCGCGCGGCCGCCCATCAAGGGTGTGACGTCAGCGGGCGAGCGGGCGAGCGGCGCGGGCCTGCCTTCGCAGTCGGTCGTCGCCATGCGCCGTGCGCAGCTCAGCCGCGGGCCCGCGCCCGCCCTCGCCACCCTGGCCGTCCTGGCCGCCCTCGCCGTCCTCAGCTGCGTCCTCGCCGGCGGAGGCGGCCCCGGGGGCCGGTGCGTGTGCACGGCGGACACCCTGGAGTGCAAAGGTCGCAACAAGACGGTCGTGCTCGCCGACGAGCTGTGCGGCCGCCAAGTGGATAAGTGGGAATTGAGCCGCAATCGCCTCTCGCAGCTGCACTTCCTGCCATCGCCCTGCCACGTGGCCGTGCTCGACGTTGCCTTCAACCGCATTCAAGAGCTCCACGGCCCCCTGCAGACGTGCGGCGATCTCTTCATGCTCATCCTGTCGGGGAACCCGCTGCGCGCCTTGCCCGACGCCGCCTTCCAGGGGATGCCACATCTCAGCTACCTCGAGCTGGACGGCGCCGGCATCGTCACGTTGAGCACCAACACTTTTGCCGGCCTCTCCGCCTTGTACTCGCTCAATCTGCGCGGTAACCACCTTGCCATGTTGCCGGAGAGAGTGTTCTCTAGTCTCAACAGACTGTCCTTCTTAGACATCAGTGAGAATCAGATCAAGGTCTTCCCGGACAATTTGTTTGTAGGGCTGGGCGAACTGCGCTTTCTGAATGCGAGCAGCAACAATTTGGTTCGCTTGCAGCGAGGCCTTTTCGAAGACACTCAACAGCTACTGGGGTTGAACTTGAGCAGCAACGAGCTCTCCACGCTGGACGAGGACCTGTTCGTGGGGTTGGTGCACCTGCGTCGGCTGGAAGTGCAAGGCAACCGCCTCACGCAGGTGCCTCCGGTTTTTGTAACTTATCTTTGTTTCTATTACATTTTGTTGTTTTTCTAGTATTTTAACAAATCATTTAAAATCGTAAACTCGTTCTGTACATAAAACACTCTTAAAATACTACACTTTTTCATATTCAAAATTGCATACTAAGGTGACTTTGACATGAGTCTCCTCAACGGTATAATTTTGAACATTTCGTTACGTTAAATTTTAATGGAGGTTTTACTCTCTTGTTACTTACACAGTAGAGAGAACGTTATGTAATATACTGGAAAAAGTGGCGAATTTTTGACAAAAAACTTTTTTTGCCAGGTCCTGGTAACGAAAAAGTGGAGAAATCAAATTACTAAATTTAGAAAAAATCTTCCAACACATGGTGTGGCCAGAATATGTTTTCTGGGTCTTTAATGCCGAAAAATTGATTGCCAACAAAAACGTCTGTCATTCTATAAGTGAACAACGCTACTGGCTAAACCGTTCAGTTAATTTTATTGATATTTCCAATCGATTGTTCGCTTCAACTCTTGATGACAAGGGCAGAGGTGATATTGTGAACTCGGTAGGCCTGAAGGCGACAAAGGCTGTCTCGAAGCGAATTGATTCTCTTTACCATTAATTCGAAAAGAACCTTCAATATCCAATACTTCACTATTACGTAGCTATCTCCGATAAGGTGAGAACGTATGAGCTGTTAAAATACCACTAGTTTATTTTATCACCTACACGATGTAGAGTTTATTGCTAGTTTCGTGAAATCATTGCACTAACAATTTCTGTCTTACGTCATCTATAGCTGATTTTACTTCCTTTCGCTTAAGAAGGAACTTTTTAAGAAGAGAAATTTATGTAATGCTGCGCGAAAAAACGACGAATTTGAGGCAGAAAAACTCTTATTACAGGATCCTGGTAACGAAAATGTGGATAAATATAGTTGCTAAATTTTAAAAAAAAATCCTTTAATTCGAGGTGTAGCCACAATCCCTGCTGTATAAGTCTATATCGAAAATCGGTTGACGGCAAAACGTCTCTGTCCGTCGGTCAGTCCGTTTGTGCACAACACTAGTGGATAAACCGTTCAGCAGAATTTCTTCAAAATCCACATTCTCTGATAATTCTGACTGATGTCGGGGCTCCTTGAATTTTAAATTGATATTAAAATTTTTGTGGTACTTTGTATAAAGCCCCTGGGACACTCAATTTTTTCAAAAATACAGCACCATTGATTTTGATTAATGTTTGTTGTTTTAAGTTTAACGTTTTTGCTTTAAGTTTGTAGCTTTAAGGACGTTTAAGATAATCGCGCAGGTCTCATATTCCTTCAAAACTCTCCTTTTTTATGCATTGAAAAAAATTCAAAATTTTTTAGGCGTCTTTCTGTAACAAAAATATTAAAGATTCGAGAGTTTTCCATAATAAAATCTGTTTCTTAAACATAGATTTTAAAATATGGCAATGTACAATATGGTAATGTACGACGCACCGATACAAGGTTGTAATCTGAATACAGATGGAAATGTGATTTTGCAAAGAATAGTTATTATTCGCCAAGCAAATGCACATAGTTTTGCCAACGCCGCGCTAGTAACTGTGCGTTGCTCTCTTCTGTATAATTTGCTGCGAATATTATTTTAGTCAAATGTATTCCTGTTTGTTTCATCAAAGTTAGAATTGATTGCTGGTCCTGACTATCTAAATGAATGCAGATATGAATCACAGTCGCTTTGTTTTTGAATTGGATCTCTTTCAATTATTGTCAGTGGTGTAAGTAGGGCAGAAAATGCAATACTTCAATATTTCGTAGCTATCTCCGACAAGGTGGGAACGTATGAGCTGTTAAAATACCACTAGTTTATTTTATCATCTACACGAATGAAAGGATAAAATATATTGCAATCGTGCGCCGGAAAACGGCGAATTTTCGAGAAGACCTCTGAATGTCGGGACCTGGTAAATTACAAAGTTGATTAACTATATTGTGACATATCAGAAATGTCTCCAAGGCATTTAATAAAGGTAAATATGTATTGAACGTATGTTTAATGTAGAACTGGATGCATACAAATAATGTAGACCAAGGAATACACGTCGCTAAGACGTGTCAAAACTGTGTTCCGTGCTCGAAGGTCTGAACGCAATATTATTGTGTGAAGCATGGCCCCAGGACATATTGTTAAATAAATGTCAAGGCGGCGTTGAAAGTCGAGGTTTCGCAATTATTTAGGATGGGCCAGTATCTCTTGGCTGCAAGCGAAGTGGACAGTGCTAATTTTGCAGACTTAGGCTGGGTAACATTTTATGTTAGGAAACGGGAAACTTAGGTTAACTGAGGTTAACTTAGGTTTGGAAACTGCGATTTGTTGGTATATAGTATGTAATTTGTAATTTGAGGGTATCATTTTTAGCTTATTTTGTAATTTATGATTTTCATCATTCATGTAAAATAGACTTCGGCCGTGGACAAAAAGTGAAGAATATATTCGCAACTGCTCATTATTGTTTTACGATACATAAAATGACATGCAGTCGCGAGAAGGCGCTTCATCCGAGGAGCAGTAAGAAAAAGTCTCGCTTGTGGGCTGCATTAATCGAGTAGATTGGGCTATGGAATATTTTTATCAGACAGGGATTTCGGGGAACATTTCAAAAGTTTTCCCGCTGCCAGAATTTGCGACAGCAGAAACATGTGTGAACTTCATCCCACCGACGGCATCCGGGCGGAAGACATCTTGAAGTTCGCCTTGGAAGATATCTCCGTAAGCTTACGAACATTTATACAGGAAATGCCATACGAAAATTGTGAATATACAAGTTAAATAATTAAAATAATTTGCTAATTTATAGAAGTTGCCATTAAATTTTAATACCAGAATAATACAGCAGAAACTCCAGTGCTGCTCTGTACAGAGTCGCATATCCAGATATATTGTAAAATAAGAAGGTAAATTCTAAAGAAACCCAGGTTACTAAAGTCAATATAATGTTTGAAATAGCAAAATTAATTAATATTGTAATCAATGTAATATTAACCGGGCAACATAAATAGGCAAATTAAATAAGAAAAATTGTAAACCATCACAAATGGCTGCCCAACCTGGGGCAGAATAAAATACATAAATAATTAGTGAAAGTTAGTTAAATATAAAACATATCAATATAGTAAATTACTTCCTCTAATCACGTATTGTAGCTAGAATCCAGGTTTTGTGAGTCATTGTTACCGAAAAATCTATTTGCAGCAAAATGTCGGTCTGCCCGTCCTACCGTGGTTATCGTCACGTTTTTTACGTAATTTTTCTTTGCTTTTAGGACAATTTTAAACCATTCATCAAATTTTACTAAGAAATAGATAATCCTTCTTCCATCTGAACGAACTCGAGGCTTTGGGATTTTCCAACGGATATTTAGATTTTTCATGGTACATTACAAGAAGTATCAACATGTTGAGTTTTGGCAAAAACAGCACTTGCCCTGCACACGCCTCCTATCGGTATGCAAGGAAGAACACCTGAATCTCTTCCCAGGAAACAATCTACTCAGTGTGACACAGCTCAAATGATCGAAATTATGTTTAAATTCCTGTTTGTCGTAATAATACCATATGGTTCCTGCTATACACGAAGACAAATTAATGGTTATCAAAATAATAGTTTACATGAGCACTGTAAGATACCTTATTACTAGGGGGCTGATTTTAATGAAATGTCATTCTTTTTCTTTTCACTTTAGAACAATGTCTTTAGTAAGACCTTAATTTTAGCCTTTAGTACGACTAATTTTATGTTATAACAAAGGGAAATGATCCATTTTTTAAACTTCTTTGTTTTTGAATTTTCAATGGGTTTTGACAAACACTTATTTTATCGGCTTTTCTTTATGCATTTTTAGCTGATTTAATATCATTTTAATGGTACGTGTTTCCAATAACAAGTACCAGTAACCTACGAGATGCAACAAGTTTTTTTTACCACAGAATTCTCGAGAAGCGTATTTGATTTTATCGATCAGAAATTGTAATGTAGCCGTGTATGTAATCTAAGGTTCCCGAATCCGCTATCAGTTACATTGACGTTTCGGTCTATTTCAGGATAACTTAAGAAAGATATTTCCTGGTAAACAACGGTAGAAACCAGTTTGCTAGCTGAGTTCACTTGAACGAATGGAAGAAACTTCTATTTTATCAGTATGAAATCCAACTGCTTGAGATATTCATCCGAACCGGTTATCACATTTTTTACTTAATTTTTCTTTGCTTTTAGAGCAATTTTAAAACATTTTAAGAGCACTATATAAATCGTCTTTGGCGAATTTTTGTCACTGAAATCCGCCCCCACTAATTACGAAATTGGAGTATTATCAAACGAGACATTTACGCCTCAATTTATAACCAATCGAATATTATAATATATGTTACCATTTGAATGTCGTAGAACGTTACAATTTGTCAAAATTCAAGTGAACTATGTTTAAATTTGACTACTCGGCCTGCGAAAGATATCTGATAGTACTAATGTTGATTGTACGTATACGTGGGTTTGTTCTAATATTACTTGCATTCCACAAATTATTATTTATTTGTATTAATGAAGCATGTATATATTATCGTAATAACTGTTATTACGATACTGATTTCAGTTTTGCCATGTTTGACTTTATAAAGTCAAAGTAAATGGTTTAAATGTATCCATTTAAATAAAGTTTTTCTTACTATAGTACTATTTAGACAGTGTGTTATATTGCAAATTAATGCTGCCTGAACACCAACACCTTGTTTGTAACCGCTATGTATTATACAAAGCAACGTGAATTTCCAAAAAGAAAAAAAAATATTTCCAGCTGAAATTATTTTCTCTACGCTGCGATTCGATCTCGGGTCCTTAGACTAACCGCCCCTTCCCCCTACGCCACCAAGCTACGCACGTGACCGCTTTTCTTCCCGACGCAAAATCAGTTTTTTTAAAAAACAAATTAAGTATTTCAATTACATTAATTCAATACCTCATCGCATCAATTAGATCGCTGGTGAGGTAGATATCTTCTAATAATTAAGTGTAGTAAATTAAATGTGTTGTCCAGTATCAATAATTTATTTTGCTAATGATCGTTTCGATCGCGTAGCGATCATCCTCAGAACTTGCATCTTCGGGCCGAAAACAAAGTTTTTACACAATCTTTTTTTATTTTTTTGCAGAACTGTTTTCGGGCCGGAAGCAGCAAGCTCTGAGCATGATCGCTACGCGATCGAAACGATCATTAGCAAAATAAATTATTGATACCGGACAACACCTTTCATTTACTATACTTAATAAATACCTCATTTAAAAAAATAATTGTATTATTTAAAAAATCTCTATCAATTCAAAATCTGTCTATACAGTATTTTGTCAATGTTAATTTTTGTTGAAATTTTCAAAAATTCACTTCCTTGTCGAAAATTGGACCAGTGGCATTTTTAAACTTTTTTGCTATATTTGAGAAAAACATTTTTAAAAAAATAGCGCTAGTTTTGAGAATATTTTGAAAATGTATTAGTGATTGATGCATGTCTAACACTAGAAGGACCGGAATTTCGTTCACCTATAAGGACCATCATGAGATTTTGACACATGATCTCCTGAGCATTGAAGAAGATAATATTCTATTTTTTCTCACTTACTATGTTGTTAAGTGGAACAATGAATAATTGCACATGTTTCTGGAACATTTTAATATATTTTATTTCAGAAATTGTTAAATTACAAAATACAAAATTGTAAAAAATAATTACAATTTTACAATTACAATGCACTTGGAATTATAATAACAATACAGAGCAATGAATGAGAACATTAATGAATATTAGTTTATAAAAACGTAATTTGCATATTAATGTAGAAAGATTTCAAGTATTAAACAGTTCAGTCATATTGATCTTTTTCGCAAACAAACTTTCCCACATGCACAACACACAGTAGAAGTAAGTTTCTTACATTTGCTTTCTCTGGGTAATGCTTCATTACCACATGATGGCTGTAGCATTTTTCTTTATCAAACGTGAAGAGGAAGGTTTAACATTTTCAAAGAATGTTTCATCTATCTTGTGTATAAATTGCAATCTACTTGTTTTTTGGGCCATCTTTTTGCCAAATTATTCACGCATTTACTGTTGCGATATCTAGAATATTGTATAAGGTGTGAACTGGCAATCTTCTTACTCGTTGTTCCTACTCGCACTAAATACATTCTATCTATCTTATACAATGACTCAACTTTGCATTTGGTCTTATTATAAATCAAAACCTTCTCCAGCTTCTTTGTCCCAGTATTCTACGTTCTATTGTCATCATACAAGGTGCTTAGGAATACATTTTTTCGCACTTACCGTACGAGTTTGACCGATGTTGTCCTTGTACCTTGAGATTGATGCTGCGTCATAAATGAAAGTTACGATAACTTAAACAACAAGTTAACAATAAGTTCAACTTTAGCAATTTTGATATATCACAGGTTTATATAAAAAAGCTTATTAACCATATTATTTTGCCAACTATGCTCTAAATGAGGGAAAACTTAAAGACGATGTTTACTTCTAAATTGGAGGAATCTTGTATAGAGATATTTATTAAATTATGTCACGATGGCACTCACAATTTTGTGAAAAATCCCATATTTTGAAAACAATATTTATAACATTACTAATCCTTAATAACGCTGTAATATTTTGTAAAGTATCGGCGTAGTAATGTGTTAGAAATATCATGAAATATTTTTAACAGAACACGATGGGGTCCGTCAATAAATTACGTAACGTTAGTTAGGTAATTTGACTGCGTTTTTATGCTGCGTTACTAGGGGGAGAGGGTAGTAATTTAGTGCGATGTAATGTTGATTTTTTAAAATTATTCATAATTTGCGGAATTCATTGTCTTTTTCTTTTATTTCATTAGACTAATATTTTTAAGATCTCAAACGTCGGGTGGGAACATGAATTAATCGCATCATTAATTGCAATCAAATATTTTAGTTCTTCACCAACACATTAAACGTTTGCATTTATCGAATTGACAATATAGGATCTCGAAAATTGTAAAGTTTTAAGGCATTTTCTCGATACTTAAAAAGTTTAACTGGCAAAAGCAATGGTACTAAGAGGCGGATTTTGATGACTTAAAACATTGCCCAAAATAATCAATAAAAATGTCTTAAAATGCTTTAAAAATGCCCCTAAAACAAAGAAAAAATAAGTAAACAAATTGATCGAAACCACTTCAGATGTACAACTCAAGCTGCTAGATATGTAACTGATGTAATCCAGGCTTCTTCCTATTATTCAAGTGAACTCAGCTAGCACACTTTGGGTTTGGACTGTTCTTTAAAAGAAAGTCTCTGCCTTTATTTATCATAAAATATATCAAACTGAATCTATCAAAACGGCGCCGATGAACGTCACAGGAACCTTGGATTACATAAGTACAACGGATGACATTACAATATGTGATAGAATATATCGAATTGGCTAATCAGAAATTTTATGGTGAACATTTGTTGCACCTTGTAAATATTTTTTAAAGTACCATTAAACTGATATTGAAATTAGCATGCATGCAGGTGATGAAATTAGCAAATATGCATTGAACATGTAATAAGTAGTAATTTAGTCGAAATTGACCAAAAATGCAAAACAAAGACATAAAAATGAGTCATTTTGTTTACGGCATTATTTCAAAGTGAGAAGTAAAAATGATATATTATTAAAATCGGCGCTAGTCATTATGTTAGATTCACGTTCGTCTTTTGGGACTTGCGCTCTTGGCAGAAAATGATATTTCATCATGAGTTTAATTTATAATGCCATTTTTAAAGGTTTTGGTTTGCTTGCACTATTAATATCGTGCCCTACGTTTACCAACAACCCAAACTTCCGATCCCCATCCCCTTACGGGGAAGAAGAGTCAAAAGCCCAAAAGAACCACCCACCAGAAGCGAGGTCAGGCGAACATAATTACAAATCTTAGGAGGCGTTACAACGATCGGTCGGCACCTGATCTCGCCATCCTGCGGGAAAGGATCTCACTTCCTCTCCAATCTCCTCTTAGGGAACCCCTACAATCAATCTATCAATTCTTCGTGAAACCTCAAAACCTAAACACGATTTCGTACGGATTCAGAAAAGGATTGTAACATGTTATTAGACGGTTTAAAGTGCATATCTTTTTCCTTTAATTGGATTGTGCGCAGGTGCCGCTGCTGCAGGAGTGCTGCCTGCACGCGCACCTGGTGGACCTGAGCCGCAACAACATCTCTGCGCCCGACGCGCGGCGGCTGCGCGCACTGCTGCGCCTGTCGCACCGCCTTGAGAGCGACGTGCGCAGCAACCCCGTGTCGCGGCACGCGCTCTGCGCGGTGCTGCGCGCCGCAGGGGCTGGCGGGGTGGGCGCGTGCGAAGCCAAAGGCCGCTGCCTGTGCGGACGCCTCCGCTCGTGCCGCGAGCCGCGCGAGTGCTGGCCCGTCGTGCACCTCTGCGAAGACGCCTGCGCTGCCGACTACGAGGAGTGGGCGTGGAAGAAGACTGACGAGGACGATGACGAGAAGGAAGCGACGGGATTCACTTCCGTTACCAAATAAACTTCCTTCTATACTCCATTACAAAGGATAAAATCTTCACTGGAATATTGACAGTGAAGCAGATATACAAGATACGAGAAGTAACTCATGATACACTACTTGAATGTATAAAAAACACTAGGAACTAAATAATTTGATTTCACGTCATGTAATTTCACGAAAGATTGTAATTTTCGTCTGAAAAGTGAATGGCCAATAGTACATGATCTCCTAAATTCTTTGGACTGTTCGTTATAGAACTCACTCAACGAATTTTAGTGTTTTTCAATTAATTACCCGGACTTAAATGTTAACATGTCATGAAGAATACGGAGAAATAAATGCATGTTAACATGACGCAACGATTCCGAAAAAATAAACTTCTGGATGAATCAGTAATGGTGTTTTTTGTTCTTTTAATTGGATATTTATTGTAACCAGAAATAATTAAGAAACTACCAAATACGTTTCTTGTTGATATCATGTAGTTGAAAGCACAATGAGTGGTGCGGGTCTGAAATAATATTATTAAACTCTCAATGAAATAAGATAAATGTAAATATGTACGGTTATATATAACCTTTGATCAAGATTGCAGTGATTGACTGAACTTTGCTTTGTTTTGTATAATACTTTGCCATTATACTAAATTTTATTTCTTTGTGTTTCTTAATTCTTCCGTGCACGTTATACCAATTTACTGCTTCATGACAATATATAATTTATATTAAATAACGCCCTTGGTATCATATTACTACTGGCAATAAAATTACAATTCCAAAGGGACGAGGCCCGAAAGAAAATTATTTACTACAGTATAAATTACAATACCATTTTTATTTTCTCTCTTCAGAAAGATACTTCGAAAGAAACGAAAGGTAAGTAATCGTACGCTGAAACGCTGAAAAATTTTCTGCAGAAGAAACCTGATAGCCGGGCCCTGCAATCGAAAAGTGGTTAAATACTGTTCCCGTATATACTAACTTTGTCAAACTCTTGATGTACCCAGAATTCATGTTTAGTAGGTTTTTGGAAACGAAAAATTGATTGACGGTCAAATGTGTTTGTCCGTTCGTTGTCTACACTCGCGCCTAAACCATTCAGACGATTTTCTCCGAATTGATTTTCCCCGATCGATCTAAATAACTGGAGACTTTACTAGTTTCCAACGAATATTTTGATTTTGGACGATTCTTTGCATAAAACCTCAAAAGTATTTTCAAAAACGTTCTCAAATATGTCATCAAATTTTGTTTATTAAACTTTGTCCTCCGATACCGTAAAGTGCGCTAAAGAGAATGGTGTAAATCAGAATGTTCATTGAAATTTCATATTTTTACTTTCTTGCTACTACTTAGGAGTAGAGAAAGTTACTTCATGTCGCGAAGAAAAACATCAGAAATGAAAGTTTTTGCCAGAAAACGTTTATTTCCGGGACTTGGTAACGAAAAACAGATAAATCCAGTTTCTAAACGTAGAAAAAAGTTGAACTAAAACGTGGAGCCATAATATATGCTTCGTAAGTCCTTGATACCAAAATATCGATGGACGGCAAAACGTCTGCCCGTCCGTCCGTCTGTCCGCCTATGCATAACGTCAGCGGCTGAACTGTTCAGCCGATTTGTTCCAAAATAATATTCCTCAATAGATCTGGTTGAATGTTCCGGGCCCTTTACTTGGAAACCGATATTTTAATTGTTGGTTGTACTTAACATGAAGTCCGTATGACATTTTCAAAATCTTTAAAAAACGGCACCAGATTTTTAGATTAAATTTTTGTTGTTAGATAGTGTGAAGGATTTTGAAGAGATTGATACAGGTCTTTCCTTTCATTTATTTATAATCACATCGACTACTGGGTCATTAGTGACTTTATTTACATTTTACTGTTACAAACATCAAAAAAGTTTTAGAACTATTTCTTTTATATAGAGTTTAGCACACCAATTGTTTAAAAAGTTCATAACATCGTGCACACTTTTATTGTCGTCCAAATAGTTCTTAATGTTCTCAAGCAAAACAGTTCTTTCACATTGGTAACCATTACACTCTGTTAATAACTGCAAAATAGAGATTGCAGTTCCACATTTAGGGCGTTTGTTCACTGGTGTTTTTGACATGACATGAGAGTGTGTCAAGTTGACCTATTCTTAGTCTCGTCAATATACATCGAATCTTCCTTTTTCTGAAGTATGCTTGATTCTCCCACACATTGTTACGGACCTAGAGTAGTTTTGATCTTGAGGTTTTCTGGATTAGGTTCCATTTTCGTCCGATGCATTGGTTTATAGCCATTTTTTGTTCTACAGTAATTGGTTCTTTTACACAATCGATTACGTGGGTAATGGCTTTTTTGCTGCTGTCTGCTTTTTCATTTCTTAATATCCCTTGATGAACCAGGACCCATGCCAAAACTATTTTGATGTTACGTTCCATCAAATGTACTTTTCTTTGTATTATTTGTATTCATGAACTTTTGTTCCCATGGTTATTTAATCTAAAGTTGCTTTGGAATCAGTAAAAATTATGTCTGTTTAGTTCCGAATTGGTGATTAGATCTATGGCTTTATCTATAGCGAAGACTTTACAGGAAAATATTGAAAACGAATCTGGCAATTTGAAGAGAAGTTCCTGATCTTCAAAGATGATGACACAAACTTTTTTTCATCTGTAACTGATCCATCTGTATATATGTGGGGGTAGTTCATGTAACTATGCGATAATTCTCTGAATAAGCTGTTAGGAGTGTTGTCTTTGCCAAACGTTTCATTCAGAATATGGTTATCAATTATAAATTTGAGTTCCTGGTGGAATTGAGTGGATTTGATGTGGGATTGAGGCATTCTCTTTAAGTGACAAATCGTTCTTGATTGTACTTATTCTAAAGGTTTGGTTGGTTATTAAAGATCATTTGATATTGATATTTGCTCGTGGTAGATTATTTTTAAGACAAATTGTTCATGAAGTATATTTAAAGGTTAGAAGTTTTCTTCTTACCCTTAATGGTAATTAGTGACCTGCTAGAACTCTCAGTCTTGGGCTACTGAGGAAGGTTCCAACTGCTAATCTTACTGAAGTTGTTTGTATAGAATATAAAAAATTTAAATTGTGGTAGCAGATATCTTGAGGCAATCCATAACGTGAGAAAGGAAAGAATTGTCCACAACAATGTATAATAACTTTATTAATTTTTACTTTTCCAGAGTCAATTATCCTGCAAATACTTTTCCCATCTTCAGTTGGTCTCTAGCAAGAAAAAGAAAATTGAAAAATTAGCATAAAGGGGGCAAAAAGAAATACAGTGAAATTATGTGAAAAAATTAACAAATAATATGAAATAAATAATAAATAAAAATATAGTGCCCCAACAACGTATATTACTTACAAATATTCACAACATTGTCGAAAAAATACGAAAACTGACAAACATGCTGGATACGACTAGGTGGCAGCTATCTTTTAGAATGAGGAAGAAGAGAAAACCAAGATGTGGGAGGGGGGACCAGAATAGTAGATAGGGTAGACATAAACAGATTTAAAATTGACAGCTATTCATACAGGAATGTTTCCGCAAATTTCTTCACCTAGTCAACTTGTTTAAAAAATTTCCTTTTTGTAATTTACAATTATATGACTTTTCAAATTCCTAATTTTCTATTCTGTATTTACAAGTTCCTAATCAGTTGTATAGAAATGTCTGGCCCAGGACTATTATTTTTACTCATTTTTAGAGCTAACTGTAATTCTGTCATATTAAAGAGTGAGTTGAGAAAAGCTGATGTGGGAGTGGAGTTATCATCATTTAAATTAGTCAGAATATTGACTTCTGTATCTTCACAGGAATTTTTGATTTGAAGAAACTCTTCTGTGACTTGTTGATACGGGAGTTACTTGCAAATGTATGTGCTAATGTATTAGCAATGTCTATTGGTGAGGTTGCCTTCCGTATTAATTACGGTCATGGAAGTCCATGATGAATGATTGCCTTGGAAGCGCTTAAAAAATTTCCAGAAGGTGTCCATTGTTCTATTTTTATTAAAAGAGAGTAGCCAATTTTGCCATGATTCTCTGTATCTCTCTTTTATGATTTTTCTGGCTTTTGCCGTGATTTATGAAAAACTATTTTTCTTCTGTCCTGTTTTTTTAATTTGTTGAAGGCCTTTATTTCTCATACTTAGTTTACAATGTTTATTCCACCATGGCACAGTCTTTTTCATTGAATTAATGTTTTCTTCTAGGTAGGTTAGTATCCGCAGCTTGACTTATAATATTTGTAAATGCTTGTAATATTTGCTCAATTGATAACACAGTATAGGTTGATAGAGGGTCAAGATTTTTAATTTGATGACATGATTCTTGTGTAACACACCAATCAAGAATGTTTAATTGACATTTTATTGATTGATATACTTGTTCTTGGCTAGTAGTGCAGCTGTTGGTTACCAATGTCATTAGTATTGGGTAAAGGTCACTATAATAGAAACAAATGGTTGAACGCCATTGTATTATGCAAACGATGGAAGTGCTACAGATTAAAAGATCGATAGCACTTTGAATGTCGCGCACTGTGATCTTGCTGAATCGTAGGTTGGATTTCCATCACTTATTATATTGATTGATTCATTAATGTGATTGGATGAATAGTGTACAGGATTTCATATATCGATAATTAGTGGTACACAGTGAAGACGAAACTGGTAAAGATAAATATTATAACGAAAAAGAAAGTATCAAAAAGATGTTACACATAATTTCAAGATTTTATTTCTCAAAATTCAAAAGGGATTCCATATCTCATTCGATTTTTACTTGATATACAACATACGATTTAAAAATTTGAAAAACAGGGTGCTGATATTAAAAATTTGGAAATTAATCATTACCCATTACATTGTCATATATATATATATATATATATATAGTATATAATTATACTATATTATATAATATAATATATATATATATTGTGACGTACCTGGGAAAACCGGTACTCTTCACGACAAATAAAAATGATATAAAGGACGGGTACATTCTCCGCGAATGGCTTCCAAGGGGTTTGACGCGTGCATTGACGAATGATCGAAAAGAAAATCTTTTGCAATTAAAAGTTTAATGATTGAAAACCACTATGTACAAAAATTCTTTACAATACGCAGTGGCGCAAGGCCTTTAGTTATTCGTGCACAAGTAAGACGCTACCTTTAGCTTTCGATTACCGCCACGGCTGGCTGGAGGCGAGCCGGGCCGCCGTGGACCGGCGGCGGCGTGTCTCGCAAACTTCGTCCGCCCCGAAGTTTGTCGGGAAATCGCTCGTCCCTCGGCGTACGGACTCCGTTAGCCCCCCCAACGCAATGGCCAACTTAGCTCGCCGGTCCACACCCCCAGCCAGTACAAGCAATGTCACATATACTAACATTGCACAACGCGCCAATTGCGTCCGTCGGCAGTTTCCATCACAGCAGTCTTCTCAATCCCACTCGAATGTTGCACGGTGCGGCCCGCTTGCTGCATCACACCCGGGCGACATTTAGAAACGCGTGTCTGTCGGCCACGTCAAACTCCCAGTATTAATGTTTTTCACTTAATCCCAGTCTGGTCGCCCGCTCCATGTATTCTCCTAATCACATGATTATCAATTTTTATCACCTCTAATTCCCACTTAATGGCCTACAAATCAAGTCCCACTGTTGGTAATATCACTTATTAAAAACTTGCTTTGAGGCAGCAACAAGCCCGTCGCGTGGTTGCGCTCGCGGCCTCTCTGGCCTATATTCCCAAACCGTCACGCCTCTCCCGTCT